CGACGAAGGAGTAGCCGTTCTATGAAAACAAGGCGAAGACGGCTGCGCGACAAAATTAGTCTGATGATGCTTGACGCTGCTATGAAGGAGCTGTGGGAAGAAATGAGAACATGTGGGTGAACAAGCACCATTTTGTGAAGAAGCTTCCCTTGTCGCCGTAGTCGTCAGTCTGCTGCTGCTGCTGGGGCTGCTGGGTGCAGCCGCTGGCGTTGTTGTTGTTGTTACCCTGCTGCTGCTGCTGCTGCTGGTTGTTGTTGTTGTTGTTGTTGCTGCTGCTGGAGATGGACTCGGCGGCCTTCTTGAGGAAATCCATTGTGAAGAAGAGTGTTGGGGTTTGGAGTCAAGATTGTTCTTGGTGTAGATGATGATGCTGCTGCTGGTGATGTGTCGAGGTGGGCAGAAGAGGGGTGATGGCGGGGAAGGTGATGAGGGAGATGATTATATACCCAACCCACTCACCACCTCACGCCAGGCAAGCCAAGGTAGCTGGAAGCAGACAAGGTACGCAGGTAGTTGGTTTGTAGCTCAATGAGGGTCCATCCAGGTCCCAAAGACGGCAGGCCTCCCAAAACCAGGCGGGATGGGAACGGAGGGGCCCGTTGCTGGTGCCCCCCCAGCAACACCGGAACGGTGGATATCCATAAGGAGGGGTCCTGGGTCCTAGGCCTGGCGGCACGGAGGGTCCAGCTTCTCCCCGTTGGTGTGTGTGCCAACAAGCACTGTCAGGGAAGCTCGGGCTGTGCCAGGGGGGGGCACCCAAGCAGGGGAAGATCAGGGAGCGACACTGAGGAGCCAGAACAACAGGGAACAGCAGGGACGGGGAGGGGTAGGTCGCGATGGTGTCAGCTGAATCCGAAGCTTAATCGCTGCGGGGTAGGTCGGGCCATCTCGGCTGTGAGTGGCAGATTTGAGGGCATCGTGATCGCGATGCACACGGGATTGCTGCGGCCGGTGGAGCCTGCGTGGTGGTGCAGTGCTGTAGCGAGCCAGATGCTCAGCACTCCTACCATGTACAGTACAGCACAGATCCCCGAAGGAGGCAGATTGCAGGTGGATGTGGAAATAGAGAGTGGGGGAGAGGCCGAGTTGGGCGGGCCGCTAGAGGCTGTCGAGCTGAACCTTGGCTGTCTCTCGCGACGGCCACGATCCGTTTGAGCCGGGAGTGGGCGGTGTCACGGCTACCGTTTTGTCGTCAGCTGGCATGGCAATGGCAACATGTGCGGGGTCCCTCTGGACTGTCTCCTTCAGCTTGTCTAGGATCGACTGCACGATCTTGTGCGGTGTATCACGAATTGATGAGATCCTAGCATCCTCAGGAACCCCTCCCTTAGTTTGGACCCTGCGTCGGAGCTCTTGGCAAATCTTGTTCTAGAAGGGTAGCTCGGTCTGGCTGTCACATGTTACAGCGAACTCAGCATGGGACGTTCGCATGGCGAATTGAAGACGACAGCATATCAGTTGAGAACATGTTTATTTATGGCCCTACTACTTTGCACCTCAGTTCGAGATCTTGTCCGACACTTTGGAACTGTGTCGCCATTAGTCCGCGTAATGTACAAAGCGCCCCTGTCACAGCTAAGTACTCACCCCGTTGCCTTTTCATAGGCAGATCGTCCGCCGTCTGTGATCTTCTCTTGTGTGTTGCGGTCAATGTTATGTCCCGACTTCTTGCTGGCAAAGTCAAAGGCTAGAGTTCTTGTTAGCTCCACTGTCCGTCTCGCAACGCGTTCACGCCATATCGTACCCTTGTCAGCGTAGTCCTGGTTGCCTGCAGCAGCCTGATCACCGCTGGCGCCCTTGTCAGCGCTGCCCGACTTGGCCACTTTCTTGATGAAGTCCATGATGAGTTTGAGTTTGTTGATGATTGAGTGTTGTATTTTCCAGTGATCAATGGGTCTGGGTTCATGAGGTCAACCCCGCGGGCAGTCATTATTTTATGCCTTTTCGCAACACTCAATGTCGTCATGCTGAAGCAACACGCTCGCTGAAACCAGACCTCCCGGAAAGTCGGAGTGCGCCCATGACGCCGGTCTGCCAAGAATCCTGCCCTTGACAGCTTTACTGCCCTATCCGATGGGGTTAGAAAAGGTACGATCGTGTCGCAAGAGGTCTGGCGGGCCCCCGGCTCCAGCAGATGAGACACCGTCTCGGGAGGCGCGCTGGTGGTTGGGCAGGCGGCTGGCACGACGGCGCTAAGGGCCGGACGAGGCAAACCTTGAGCGGCATTCACGGACTGGGCCACGGCGCATGATGTGACGTGGGATCCGGAGTGTATTGCGATTCGTTCTGCAAGTGGGAGCTCGGATTATTGTATGTTGACGGAGCCTTGAAAGAGGTTATATAGGTTAGCTAATGTGACGATCCGGTGCTTGTCTAGGTCTCATGCTGGGCTCTTCCATTGTAATACTTTGTTTGCAATATTGGATAATACTCAAACAAGCTATGAGAGCGGTTCGCCGCGATACTGCACGCCAGGGATAACCTCATCAAATGCTGTCCAGGTCAACCATGTAGTGCAAAGAAGTCTTACAAACCAAATCTCCCACCCAATCTACCTACACACCCTAAGTCTAAAACTTGAGACACAGTATCAGTCTGCCTCACAAAACAGCGCAGATTTCTCGTCATATATCGCCGGTCCTCCCGATGCAAGGCTGCCCATATGACCGAGGTCTGTGACGGAATCCTAGATGGTCCTCTGGCCCTACACCACTCCTCCGGAGACTTTTCTTCCGACAAGACTGCGCTTGGTTTTGGTCTCTGCGGCCAGCTCAAAATCGACCGAGTCGGTCACCGGAAACGGTTTGATAGTGGATGGATACCAGACAAAGAAAATGGCCATGACCAACGCCATGAGTGTCAGGTCAAAGACGAAAAGCGGCCACTCGTTGGACAGGAGATAGCCCTCAGGGCCCATGATGTACTCGATGATGCGAAACGTGCAGCGCACGAGAATCAGCGCCGACGTGGCGTACAGCATAATCATGAGCTTCGCCCAGTCAAACGGCTCGCCCCGGGCAACGACGGCCCCGTCGCGCAGCTGCGCCGTGTCGGCGTCGACGACGCTGAAGCCGTCGCGGCCGCGTCTGTACCGCACGTCGAAGATGACGGCCGCCAGGACGAAGAGGCCGAAGAAGACAATCTGGACAAACAGGCCCACGATGACGGTGGTTTTTCCTAGGTCTTTCTTCGTGGCACTCGTCATCATGCCGGCGCCGCCGGCCTGGATGACAAAGGCGGAGACGTCGCCGACGACGAACACCTTGGTGAGCCATGTAGGGCGAATGATGGAGAGGGCTACGGCGCGGGGGCCGAGACCGCGGATGATGCGGCCAAGGACCATGTAGATGCTGGCGGCAAAGAGCGAGGGCGGGACAAGCAGGAAGATGGACTGGATGATGTAGGGCATGAGCTCGCTCGTGTCGTTTCGGGCTATGACTCGGCCTACGCAGCCAACGGCCTCGACTGTTCCCTTTTGTTAGCACAGGGTCCCAAGGACAGCGTCCCACGGAAACGATGGGATACGCACGATACCCTCCGACCACAAACGGTAGGCAAAACCACAAGCGGTGTTGGAACATCCTCCATGTATGGGCGAGCGAAAGAACGCCAAAGAGTGAGAGAAAAATGATGCTGAGTGCCAGTGATGGCACGTATTTCCAGAGGTAAATACCCTCCTTGTAGGGGAGCAGCTCTGCGCGAGAGAGTATCATGTTGAACCTTTGCATCGGATAGACGAAGAGAAGACCTTTGCTAATCGGTGGGCTGGGTGTCTCGAATGGCGGCGCAACGTTCAATGCTCGTGATGGTGGATGAAGGTAGTCAAACTGAAGGACAAAAGGCTGCACTGTAGGTTACAAGATGGCTTGAAGCGAGGGCATTGTCGACACACCTGCCAGTCAACTACACCAGGGAGTCCCCAAATATATAGTCAGGGGCGGTTGATATTCAGCTCTCAGCGGGCGGGTCCTCCTCCATGGATCATCGCCCTGGCGAAGTACGCCTCCGAGAGCCCGATATGCGAAGAAAGAGGACATTGTCTATCCAGCAGCACGATACTTGCATGGGGTTGACGCGTCTGTTGCTATAGTCTTGCGAGAGATGCGAGCGAGATACGATGGATTGACGAGGCGTGGATGCGAGACAAAAGTCTAGTTGGTTGTATGACTCGCCCAACACTGCGGCTTCCGCGGTCTCGCAAAATTATCCGAGAGGCAACTCATCACTGTGGCTATGCGTAGAGCAGATTTCATGGCAGACAAGCTAGGCTGTGCGCGCCAGTGTATGCGCTCTGTTCACCCATTCAACTTGTCTCACGGGGTTATGTTGCATCTCATGAGCCGTCACCGGCGCGGGGTTGACTGTGATCTGGTCCGCTTAACCCCCTGGATCATGGTAAACAAGATCATGAATCTTCCAATTCACAAGCACACTCGATAGCTCGACGCAACAAATCGTCATGCGACTCTAGTTTCTACATGCTGCACTTCTTCGTTGAAAAATCTCTCCATGACCTGATGCCCACCCCCCCTCCGCTATGACTCGTAGCTCTCAAATACATGTCTCCTCTGCCACAGCACGGCATCCAAATGCACCGGGAACCGCGAGAGGCTCTCGTCAACGACGGCGAACATGCGCTTCGCCAGCCCGCCAAAGTACCAGAACCGCGTCTCGAACGCGCGCAGCAGCACGGCAAAGTGCGCCAGGAAGACCATGGCGTGCGGCCGGCACGCGATGATGTCGAGGCGCAGGTTGTCCTCGACCCGGTAGGGGATGAACATGATCATGTGCGACTCGGGCTGCGCGCCGGCGCCGGCGACCAACCACACGGCGCGCCGCAGCAGGTGCACGGCGTGGACGTAGTCGTGCCGGCTGGGTCCGTCGAGGGTCGTCTCGTAAAAGGTCGACGTGTCGTCGAGGGCGTCGAACATGTCTTCGGGCAGGATGGAGAAGCGCAGCGTGGATTTGCTGCCAGGGGGCGGTTGTTCACGGTCAACATGCGAACATCAAGGTCAGGGGTGGAGATGTGTGGCAAGATGGGAGGGAAAAGGACAATGGCAAGGCAGGGAAGGCAGGCAAGGCAAGGCAGGGAAGGCGACTCACTTGAAGCTGCTCGGATCGAGCCGATGTGACAGGCCGTTGCCGGCCAGCGGCGCCAGCGGCGTTTCGAGAATCTGGGCCTCGGACGGCTCCATGACGGCCCAGACGCCGCGGATGAAGACGAAGAGATCGAGGGCGCCGGGCGTCAGGGCCACGGGCTGGCCGTCGCCGGCCTCGCCGTGCGACCCGGCGGGCTGCCAGCACATGGTGAGGACCATGATGGCGGCGAAGCAGAAGCTGGGCTCCCAGTCGGTGGCGCCCGCGTCGAGCTTGGTCAGGGCGGCGCGGAAGCCCTCGAGGCCGGCCGTCTGGTGGTGAA